TTAATAATTAATTATTCAATAGATAGTAAGTTATTTTTATTGATTATTAGTATTTAATATATACTTTTTATTATAATTTAAGCTTAATCAAAAATTTTATTTAAAAAATAAAAATATTATTATAGAAGGTAAGTTAATTTTTAACATTTAATTATTCTATTTACTATAATTTAAATTCTGCTAAATTTTTTATTTAAAAAATTATTTAATTATTATATTCATAGTAGGTTATTTTTTATTAATTTAGTATATTTATTAATATAATATAATAATTTATTTTTTATTTATATTTTAAAATATATTATAATTAGATTGTAAGTTTTTTTAAATATCTAATTATATTTTTTTATTGTAATTTAAGCTTAATTAAATTTTTATATAAAATTATTATTTAATAAATTAATAATTTAATAGATGGTAAGTTTTTTTTATTAATTATTTGTATTTTATATAAGTTTAAATTCAACTAATTTTATTATTTAAAAAATTGATTTTAATTAATAATATAATAGATAGTAAATTATTTTTATTAATTTTTAGTATTTATTTATATTTTTATTATATAATTTAAATTTAAATTCTAAATATTTTATTTAAAAATATTTAATTATTTAGATCGTAAGTTATTTATTAATTATTTATATTTAGTTATACTTTTAACCATAAAGTAATTAAAACTTAATTATTATTTTTAAAAAAAAAATTAATAATTAATAATATATTAGTTGGTAAATTATTTTTATTATTATTTAATTATTAATTTTACTATAATATATTAATATTAACTATACTTTTTTATTATAATTTTAAATTTAATTACATTTTTATTCTAAAAAAAAATATTTAATAATATAAATAGTAAGTTAATTTTATTATTTATTAGTATTTAATTATATTTTTTATAATAATATAATTTAAAATTCAATTAAATATTTTTTAAAAAATATATTTAATAATGAAAATTATAATAGATTATAAGATATTTTTATTAAATATTAGTATTTAATTATATTTTTCTCTTAAATAATTTTAATTTAAATAAATTTTTTTTAACTTATTATAGTAATTGGTAAGTTATTATATATTAATAAGTAATATTTAATAATACTTTTTATTATAATTTTAACTAAATTTTTATTTTTTAAAAAAAATAAGATTGTAAGTTATTTTATTAAACATATAAGTATTTATATTTTTTATTATAAGAAAATTTAAAACTCTATTAAATTTTTATTTAAAAAAAATATTAATAATTAAATATTATAATAGATGGTAAGTTATTTTGATTAAATAATAATATATATAGTAATAATAGCATTTTAAATTTTTACTTAAAATAATATATAATAATTAATTATAATATATTTTAAATTCAACTAAATTTTTATTAAAAAAATATATAAATTTTTTAAAAATTATTATATATTATATATAATAAATTCATTAAATTTAGTAAATATTATATTTTTTTTTTTAAAGTTATAATTATAATTTTATAAACTAATAATATATAAATATTTATTTAGATCAAAAGAAATATGTTTAAATTGTAATAAAAAAAATACTGGATATAAATGGTGTCAAAAATGTAATTCTAATTTATTTCTAAAAAAATTTATAATTGGACTAGTAAAAATTTATTTATTAATAAATTTATTCAAGATATTCAATTGAATGCTAAAAATACAAAGCAAATATTAGAATGGATTCCTTATAATAACTTAGTAAATATAAATATTTTGATAAAGGAGAACTTAGTATTGTATATACAGCTATTTGGTTAGATGGATTTATTCAAACCTATTCATATACTGATAAAAATTGGATTAGAAAAAAATAACATAAATGTAGCTCTTAAAAGTCTTGATAAATCATTAAATTTAAATGAAGAATTTTTAAATGAGATATGAAATTAATAAGTATTTTTGATTTAAATAATAAATATTTAAATAAATTTTATAATTTTAGTGGAAATATCATTATTGTTGTTATAGTCAATTAAAAAAATATTCAAATGAAACTCTTATTCAATTATATAGATTTACTCAAGATCCAAATACTTTAGATTATTTTGTAGTAATGAAATATGCAAAAAATAGTAATTTAAGAAAAAATTTGTCAAGTATAGTTCAGGATACATGGATAATTAAATTATTACAATTATATAATATTATTAGTGGACTTGATGAAATACATCAAAAAGGTCTTATTCATTATAACCTTCATGATGGAAATATTTTAAATATTAGAAAAAATATTTTATCTATTAGTGATTTAAGATTATGTAAACCTGTAGAATATTTTGAATCTAAAAATAATATTTATGGGTTTTACCATTTGTAGCACCTGAAGTTTTAAAAGGGCAATTTAATACTTTAGCTAGTGATATATATAGTTTTTTTATAATTATGTGGAAGTTTACATCTGGAGTTATTCCATTTAATAATGAAGCCTATGATTTTCAATTAGTTTTAAATATTTGTAAAGGTAAACGTCCTGAAATTATTAATAATATACCACAAAATTATATAAGCTTAATGAGAAGATGTTGACATGAAAATCCATTAAAAAGAACAATTACATCAGAAATTAAAAATATTATTTATAATTGGTATGAAAATATTAGATTAAAAGATTTTAATAAAAAATATAAAAATGATATTATAGATTTTTATAAAGTATATCAAAATCAAAATAATATTATAAGTAATACTAAATCTCATTTACAAGTAAATTATTCAAGTCATTTACTTAATTTTACTGAAAAATTAAATGAAGTTTTAAATTAAGTTATAATTTCGAATTAAATAAAAATTGGTAATTATTTTTATATTATATAACTAAATTATAAATATATAAAATTTAATTAATTTTTTAATTATTATATTTATAATTTAATAATAACTTTATAAATATTACAAATTATCAAAGTAAGTAATTTAAATTAAATAATAAATTATATTTTAAATTAATTCATTAATTCATCTTTATAAAATAGATGAAATCTATTTAAATATTTGTTTTATTTAGTTTAGTTTTATATTTAATATTTATAAATTTTTATATTATATTTATTTTGTAACACTGTATATAAAGTAGTTTTTATATAAAAAACAGTTTGTAATTACATAAAATAAACTTTTATAAATAAATTTATAAATTAAAAATTAGAAATAAGAAATCTCAAGTTTTAAAAATGATTATTAACATATACTTAGATTAGAGTTGAATTATTAATGAAGAATTAATAATAATTATTATTAGTAATAAGAAGATGGTTAAATAAAATATATTTTTTTGAACATTCAAGAGCTAATTGAATCATTTTTCCTAAAGTAGTTTAATATATAAGCACCTTTAATTAATAAAGTATTTAATTTTTTATTGTGTAATTATTTTTTCTTTAATTTTAGCTAAAGTTTTAAGATTATTATAAAGTAGAAAATAGGGTTCTGAAAAATTGAATTAAATCAAATCAAATTAATTAAACTAAATCAAAATAATTAAATATATGGGAGGCAGTCAGTAGAAAAGGGGGAAATCCAAATTTTGGTCAAAATTTATATTATTGAACCACTTGGCTGATCTTGGTCATATCACAAAATTAGCTTAATAATCAAAATTAACAAAAATTTTGGATTTCCTCCTTTTCTACTGATCGCCTCTCATATATATATATATTTTTAAGATGTGATGAAGTATTTATTTATTAAAAAAATATTTTCATAATATAAATTAAAGAAAATCCCAAAATGGATACATAAAATAAAAAATAAAGTAAATGCTACTTAGTCTTTGTCAAAAGCATATGTCTTTTCCAACTAAACTAACCGGTTGTCTTATTATATTCAAGTCTTAAAGGTTTTTATTGATACATATTATGATAACTTAAAGACTTATCAAAACATTTATCATTCATTAGGCAGAGTTTATATTCAAATAAAAAACATGCCATTTAATATGAGACAACATCTTCATAATTATTTTATCTTGATCTTTGTATCTTTAGAGGTTATTTTAAAGATTATGTTTATCCTTTTATTAGAAATATGAAAAATTGGAAAAGGTGTATTAATAAATGTTTAAAAGACAAATTGTTAGATTATTACTAGTTTTGGATATATAATCACTGATTTACTTCAAGGCAATGACTTAATGGTATAAAAAAATAAAGAGATGTAAAATATGATTTGCTACAAAAGAAAATGCAATGAAAATTACATTAGATATTTCTAGTATTTTTCATTATCACTATATTATAAGCATTTATTTTAAAAATATATTTACAGCTTCAACCCTAAATTAATGAAGTAAAATTGCAAAAGAATATGATTTACATATAATTTTGTTAATACTCAATCAGCTTTAATGAAAATGTTACTTACAGTCACTACAAAATATTTATCACCTAATAGTTATTAAGATATTAAAATTACTTAAATTAACAATTTTCATGCTATTTTTAAAAGGTGAATAAAGATTTATTAGAGAATGAAAATTATTTAAAACATTCTCAGTATTAATCAAAACTACTGAATTCTAATAATCATCTTAAAAGCTTTATAATGTTAGATCATCTTTGATTAGGTATAATAATTATTTAATTTTGATTCAGATTCATTTATTCTTACAGTTTTGACATTAAATACTAGAAATACTAGGCAACTATAACCAAATGCTTTTACTTAACATTTAAGATTTCATTAACAAATAATGATTATATAGATCACGAAAGGCATTAGTTGAGATAAAATTTATTATTTGTATATACATAAGCTATACAAATTATTATATTGATATAATTGAAATATCTTTTAAATGAGTTTGAAGTGGATTGGTAGTCTGAAGTAAGAAGGAACCCATTTTGCATTCCTCAGAGTGAGCTTTATCAAGTGAGTCATCAGTGTAGAAGCTAAGTAATTTAGCATCACTCATGGTAGATTGAATAGCTTTGAGTTAGTCAGAGTAAGAGAAGAGTGGGAATAGTTTGTTGATAATGTTTAATTTGGGGTAATGGTAATAGGTGATGAGAGACATGAGGTATTATAGAATAGAGAAGCAGTATAAGATATTTCATCAGGTGAATCACAAAGATGATTAGCAATTGAGATAACTCTTTCATTTTTAAAATGAATTTTGAAAACTCTAGTAACTTCAATACTGAAAAAACATAAGGTGAGAGACTCTTCTGAAGAAATGAGATTCTATTGCCTCCTATTATACGATTTGAGAGATTAGAAGAAAAAGAGATTTTTGAAGAAGATTTGAATAAGAATCTTGATGAAAGTGTCAATACCAAAATTCTAGTGGTGAAATATAAAAGGCAAATTGTGATTTAATTGATAAAGTCTAATTTTAGAAATATATTTGTATATTGTTAAATTATTGAATTGATACAGTAATACATTCAATAAGGATTTGATTTGTAAAGACTAAAGATCATTCAAATTGTAAAACTCTTTGAAATGTAGCATTATGTTTGGGAAGATATTTGTTAATTTGCATTTTCTTTTAAAAAGACTATGAATAGGAACAAAGAAATCATTACATTCCTTTTTCGATAAAAGGGTAAGTTGTATTCTATATTCTATAAAAGAACAAAGAACTATATTAATAATATAAGAAATCTGTTTATCAGTGAGAGGTTTGTAAGTCATTAAATTAAAATAATGAAGAATGTCTTGTTTACTTAATTCTTAACAAAGAACAGTGAACGTTTGGTATTGATCTAAATCCCTAAAAACCTAATTAAGCCTTTCTTAGGAGAAATGTTGATTGCAAATGAACCAAATTTCAGATTACAGTAATACCTTCATTATAAGAATTATTCAGTATAATAAATGATTACTGAAAAAGGAAAATACAAACATAATTTTACTATGATATAATTAAAGTTAA